GCCAGAGCCTCGCACACGTGGGCATGACAGTTACAAATACACGTTAGCAAGTTGGCAAATTGGAAAACGTGGACTCTGCAAATAATGAGGATCGACTGTACTAACTCGAGGGTACAAACCAGAAAACTCACCTTGGATTATGCAGCTCTCATCCTGTTAGTCCACAGTTGTCATTTCCTAAGAAGATTTTTAAAAGATAATCAGGAATGTCAGGTTTTTGGATAACTAATTTTGCAACAGCTAAAAGCCCTTGGAGTGAGTGCGGTGTAGCCGTGCTGGGGCCCTCTCTCCAGGCCCCTGCTCACCCGTGCCCACAAGTGCCTGTGGAGAAGCGTTCAGGACGGCTTCGGGTCCTCAGAAGCATAAGGGCCACATGTAGTGTGGGGATTCTAATATATAACTCAGAATATATTCAGAGTAAGAACTTGGAGCAAATGATAAAAACAGAGGAGTACAGGATTGAGCTCTTTTTATCAGAAATTGGTAAAACTCATCACAACTCTTGCTATGGCCGTGAGATCGAGGGAGACATTGCTCTATGTGTGGTGAAAGAGAATGGGTTCGGAGTCAAACCTGGTTTTGGATTTCTGCTATTTGCTACTACCTGTGGTTTTTGGCAAGTCACTTAACCATTCTGAGCCTCAGTTTCTTTTTTCTGTACAGTGAGGTTAATGATACTGTTGGAATGTTGGAAGTGTTAAGTTCCCTAACTAGCAACTGAGTGCCTCCGAGGTCTACCAGTAAGTGCTCAATAAATAGCAATGTTCAGGGACAGAGAGAGGGAAACTGTCCTGCACCCAGTAATACAGAAATCTCAAGTGGTTTTCTTAGATTATAAGTAGTAGTCTTACCGTGTAAAGAGGTCAGAACACAGTCAGTTACCCAGGTTAGCAATCTCAGATCCAGCCATAACGCTTTAACATCATGTCAGCTCCTTCTGGACTCCACCTCTCAGATGCCCATCACTTTGGGTTCCTCCTCTCCCCACTGTTTTCATCCCGGCCTATCTCAGCATGGATATTTGCATAGACACTCACCTCCTCCCAGACTCCAGCTTCTCCCCGCTGAAAAGCCCCAGATCATCTGTTGCTGATAAGCCTCTAAAGGCTTCATTCACATGGTCTGTAAGTTCCAGCACTCATTATGACACATGAGGTCCTTCGCTACCTCAATCTTTTCCTGTCCGCTTTTGGAGACTCGACTCCCAGTTCCCACCAAATACCAAGTGTTCCAACCCCAGTGGACAGTTGGTGATTCCTGAGCAGCCTGACACTGGCTTCTGGTCTTTCCTTACTCCGGCTGTTCCTCCCCATTCAAGAACATACTCTCCTTCTCCCGACTTGAAAAACTCCTACTCCTCCTTCAGGACCCAGTTCAGGAGACACCCGCCTCTGTAACAAACTCTTTCCCCCAGTTCCCGGGCAGAATTCATCACTTTCCATTGTACGTCATGCATACTTCTGTGAAAGTCAGTATCAGGAGGTTTTTATGCATGTGTTTGTACTCTTTCCATCTCTCCTGGGTGTCCTGATAGGAGGAGAGGCAGGCATGTAACCATGGAAGCTCCTTGAGGACAGAGATGAAGCCAACGTCACATGTGTGTCCCAAATCCGAGCCCAGTGTCAAGCATGCTGTGGCAACTCCACATGTCAGTGAAATTACACGGAGACAGGACAGTGTCCTAATCAGAAGCATAACCGTGCCTCCGTAAGGCTGAGCATTACTGGAAGCTCATCGTTTGTCTCTACGTATTTACAGTCAGGAGCTTAGACTTTACAGACATGGCGTGAAAAGGACACTTAAAAGATGAGACAAGCGCACAGATGGCATGGTCATCGGGGCAGTAAATAATTTCCGTCTCCCTCTAAAATCGTAGGTGGTGTATTTTGTGAGTCTTTAAAAACAATGATACAGCAAAGTAGAACAACTAATGCTAGAGAAACTGACCAAGATGTTAATGTAATGATCTGCAGTGAAAATTAGGTACTCAAGACCTAAGCATCCTTAATGTGGGAAAAACACGGAATTGGATCAGTTTTTTTTTTTTTAAGATTTTATTTATTTGGGAGAGAGAATGAGAGACAGAGAGCACGAGAGGGAAGAGGGTCAGAGGGAGAAGCAGACCCCCCGCTGAGCAGGGAGCCCGATGTGGGACTCGATCCCGGGACTCCAGGATCATGACCTGAGCCGAAGGCAGTCGCTTAACCAACTGAGCCACGCAGGCGCCCTGGAGCGGTTTTTTCCTGTAAGTAAGGGAAGACCCTTACTTACTAGTTGCAACAACCAAGTCAGTTAAGTGACCTCCAAGGAATTCACTAGGCTCCTAGTCGCAAAATGAGACTAGCTTACGTTGGGCAGTATTTACTGGCTGCTTTTGGCTTTACAGGTATTACTTCACAATAACTATATGCAGTAGGTAATTATTCTCTGTTTTACAGATGAGATAACAGAGGCTAAGAGAGGTTAAGTAACTTGTCCAGAATCAAACCATTCCTAGTGCCAGAGGAAGTACATGGAGGAGAAAAAAGTACCCAAGAATTATTTTAGGACCCATTTACACGTCTTTTTGTCAGCTAATTGATATTTACTAGTACTGTCTGAGAATGTGTTGAAGACCCTGTCTGTGTGGATTTAATGAACTTAACCCTGACCGTGACGACATCAGGCCGTCCAGGCCAGGGGCCCTGTCTGGTTTTGAGAGTCGTACATTCATCTAGATGTCTTAGATACCCAGTGGAGCATTTGTAACCCATTTCTCTCAGGCTTTATTGACACGAAAGATCTTACTAACTTGCTTTTTTCCTCCCAGTTACTCTACTCTTTCCAGGATTCTCTGGTATGCATTCTAAAATGCTATTATATGGTGGGAGGGGGCGGAGATTATAATTATTGATAATCAGGATAGATGCTAGGGACATTTGGGGTACCTTTCTGTTCTCCCTTCCCTTTAATAGAACTTTTTACAGTTTTTGGCTCTTCAGGTATTGTCTCATTAAACATGCTAGGTATATCTGCCTTTCTTTTGCAGAATGCATACGTGAACAAATGAAACCCGCCCGATGGGTCTGAGGTGGTAGCTTTTCCATCGGCAAGAGTGACTTGCTTAATATTCAGAATGTGCATGAGGAGGCAATTAGATGTGAATGCATCTGGGGCATAATCAGCTCCTTGAGGATCCCGCTGCTCTTTTGCTGGAAGCCCTGACCTCACTCTCTCATCCCTTGAAAGCCAGAGGAGCAGTGTCTGCCCTGGACTGCAGGAATCTTGCAGGAAGCACAGGCCCCTTGTTCCCCATCTCCGAGGGTCCCGTGTGTCCCCTGGGGAAGTCCACGGCGCTTCCACAGAGTTGTAGGTTGACAGGACAGCAGGGCAAGAGAACGGGAGGTTTTCCGCGATTTTCTTCTCGGTGCCCAGTGCTTCTCCCAGAAGTGTAGCTGTGGGTCAGGATACTACCTCTCCTTCCATTTTCTTCCCTCTTGAATAGACACCACTATCTCTACTTTCCACACTGACTGAATTTTTTTTTTCCACTAAAAGTGTTGCATTTGATTATACGGCTTCCCATGTATAAATCTAGGCAGCCCTCCAGACAGCCCCAGTAGGGAGTGACGTTCCAAATCTGTCATTGCCCTGGGCTGGGTGGGGGCCTAGAGGCCTCTGCCTTGTGAGGATCAGGGCTGGGAGTGTGCCCGGGAAGGGCTGGTGAAGTTAGAGGTACTTGACCGGTTTTATTGAACTTTGGTTTGACAAAAGGCCTACTCCAAACTGCTACATGTGTGTCTTCTTTTCATTGACTTTGTGGTGGTTCAACAAAGGCTTCCCCAGTTTGAAGACTGTATTCAAGGACTGTAAGACACAGGTCCAGAAGGATGGTTATTTAAGAAAACACTTTTTTTGGCAAGAAGAAAAAATTCCTAAGCTACTTCTACTTGCTATTATTCATATTCTTCAAAAGGATGTTGATGTACATTTTGATTTGTTATGTTACAATGTGATGTCACCTAAAAAATCCAAAGCTTTTAGCAGTGTGGATAAAGATGGTAACTGATGTTTGCTATCTTTAAAAAAAAAAAAAAAAGGGAAAAAGTGCAGAAGATAGGCAGTGATACTTTAAATTTGGGGTTTAGGTTAAATCATTATTATTGTCTTTAATGTGACAAAAACAGCCTAAGAAAACCCACAGCTGAGACAGATAGTGGCAATAATTCCTATAAATTAGGTTATTAACTAAGCTACCAAGACCTTTAAAAGCAATTAGTTAATACTACCCCTGAAAGGGCTCTAATATAAATCTTAAGATGTAGGAATTATTTATGCAGTGGTACAAAAATGTCAAGACTCCATGTTGGGTTAGTGTCTGTTCAGTTTTATTGTAATTATTCAATGAATCTATGAGATTAAGCCTTAGAAAATTAGTGCAACAGTTAACAGAAGACACAGTAACCAAATCTGCACTGGGCCGGCTCGGTAAGTACTCTGGGCAGCTGTATCCACGTTGGGAAGCAGGTTTATGTTGTACAGCATTCCTGCTTACTGCAGAACTTAGGAATGAATCTGTCATTAAAAACGAGTATTATATTATTGATTTAAAACTGGTGAAACATTAGTTTGCAGTACCTTGATTTTAAAAAGCATCATTGGGTGCTAATGTTACAACTTGAGTCAAAGAAAACAAGAAAACGTCTCTTCTGTGAGTGGTGCACTGATCCTCCTTATTGTTGACCCAAATTCATCTTAGAGTGAGTATGACTTGAAAGTTTTCAGTGAATTGTGCTGAGCCCTAAAAATTCTCCCCAAACCGTAGCTAGCATCTGTTCTGTATTTACAAACTGAAATAACTACGGATGTCAAAAGAAAGAAGATTCTATTTCCTTTAGAAAATACGTCTTTTTTTTTTTTTTTTTAGAAGTTTCCATCAAAACTCTTTTTAAACCTTAAAGCTTTTCATTTGCTTGTCACGGGATAGCTAATGTGTAGTCCTTGTCATTTCTTGCACGCAGTGCCCTGCCAGACCGTCTTAGATTACCTGAAGACCGTGCTGCAGCACCACAACCAGCTCCTGGTCCCTCAGCCCGCCGACCAGCCAACCGAGGTAGGTTTCTAGCAAAAAGGTATCTATGTGGTTCCATTAGGAATTTCTTTGAGACAAAGCTTCTTGATAGCATATGCGGATACCCCCGAGCAGATTGGCTAGCAGGACACAGCTTTGACTCCCTGAGGTTTGTGCCTCTTATTACCTGTGCGTGTATACACCATGGAGGAAGAGCGTGCATGTATCCAAACTCACCAGGATTCAACGCTGTGCGCCAAGAGGGAGAGACAAAGAAACAGCAGTTCAAATGGTGGAGGCCAGTCTGGCGGCATTCTTTCAGGAGAGCGGCTGAAATGGAGGCACCAACCTGCCCTTCTCTGGCAGAGCTATGGTTCCAGAAAGCCCCTTGCTCTCAGGCACCTCCCACACTGTGTTAGATGGATGTCTTCCAGACACTGGGGCTCCAGAACATTTATTCCTCTGGACCTCAATAAGAAGCAACCACAGTCTCTTCCAAAGACCAGGAGAGATGGTCTGTTCTGCTGGGAATGGTAGGTCAGTGGAAACATGGCACATTTTTATAAGATTCTCAAGACTCAGTTTTGAATATGTGTTACTTTTATCTTATGGACTTTAGAACCTAAATCCAGTGGAAGAAGCAATTGCTGGGGTTAGAAACGTCTTGCATTGATAACAATAGATAAGTTCTTTTCACGTAGTTAAGCTTCCTACACTTGGCAAGGTGAGTTGTTCATGCTGGTGATGGCAGGCCGTTGACCCTCTCTCTCATCTCGTCATCACACATCCTTCGACGCTCCCTGTGTCTAGTTAAAATCGTCTCGAGGCTCCATCCTTGTGCGTACCATTTCATAGATCCAGCTGCACATCTGGTCTTCCCACCCTGATTCCATGCCTTGCAGCTGAAGAAATACAAGAACACACTCCTTTCCACGTTTCTGCACGTAAGAGAGGCCAGAGGATGGAAAAGGTGGCATCAGTCTGGTGCGCACTGAAGCTCTCTCACCTCCGTTCACCTGAAGTTTGGAGAAGCTACGTCAGAGGTCTCTGCTCTTTTCCTCCAGCCCCCATCCCTGGTCCCACCACCCTCCCCCTTGAATTCAGCAAAAAAGTAAGCGATACCAAGTTGAACTCAATCCAGTGGATTCCGCCGCACTGATGTCTACCTTCCTGCACACCTGGTGCCCCCACCCAGGAAGCCTCGCCACCCACCCACATCTGTCCTTCCACCTCCGCTGCCCCCCCCCCCAGGACGCCGAGCCATTGGTCATTCCCCGTCTTGTGCACCGGGTTCCTGGGTCAGACACACTCCAGTCTTCCCACCCTGAGAGCAGGCATGCGTCTGGTGCTCCCTCCGTCCCTCCATCATCGTGTCTTCTGTCTCCTTCCATCCCCCAGCGTACCCTCTGTCAGCGCTCCACTCTGCCCCACGATGCATCTGGCTCCGCGAAGGTGGGACGCAGGTCCCATCCCACGCGTGCCCCCAGTGCCTGTTGTCGAAGGCACTTACAGAACAGTGACCTCGTTTTTCTTAGGGATTGAACACCTGAAAGACTGGTCTGTTACTCCACTCTTAGTTTCCACTTGCTCTTCCACCCCCCGTAATCTGGCTGCACCTCGACTGCCTCCCAGAGTCCTCTGCGAGTGGTCCTGGTGACTTCCCCGGCTGTGCAGTGCGGGGCCCTTCCTCCTGCCCTCGTCCTCCCCAGGACCCCACTCTCCGTCTCCGTGCTCTCTCTTGGCCTCAGTGTCAGGACTCTTCTCCTTTTCCCCGTCCTTTTCTTGTGCATCCACTGTGGTCCAGAGTGCCACCCTTCAGCCCCTTCCCTCGCTGTCCACTGCCCTTCTCTGCCCAGTTATGTTCTTTCTCTGAACACCAGCTACGTGCAGGTTAACAAGTCCCAAATCGGGATCTGGGCTACCAGTCCCCAACTCCCTGCCGCTCTGTCCAACTGCCTGACCAACAGTGGGATGCCCTTGCACCCTCGAACTCACGCCATGGCCTCTGAATGCCCAGCCCTACCCCAGTTTTCTCTCCAACCCCAGGCAGAAATTTCTGAGGCATCACGGACTCCTCCCTCTTCCTCGTTCCTGACATCTGCTTGTTTTACAGCCACCTTGAGTAGTCTCTCCTCTCTACCTCCTTCCTCACACTTTGTACCTGGACTGTTAGAAGGGATTCTTCTCTCTTCACACTGGAAGGTTGATTTTCTAAACTACAGATCCAAAAGGAATGTCACATGTTTAAAATCCTTTCATTGCTCCCTAGAACAGGGTCCACGTTTCTGAACTTGACGTTTCTATTGTACAAAAAAAGCACTTCCAAAAAGCCCACTTCCTCCAAGAAGCTTTCCCTGATTGCCACATCCTCTCTGTGCTGACAGAACACATTGTTCCTAATAAGAGTAATTCAGAAGTTACTTAAATACTAATGCATACATAGGTCTTCCATTTGTTTGTGAGTCTGCGATTACATTAAATGAGAGTGGTTCATTTTGTTTTTTTCAAAGTGACTCATAGATCAGAGTTTAATAACCTATTAGTGGCTAATTGAAGAGAATATGCAATCAGAATTCTATAAAAACATAAAAATAGGGGACATATCTACATTTCCTCTGGATAGGAATATTTAAACTTTTATTACCCATCATCATCATTATTACGCTATTTTTACTGTCATTTCAGGCACATGGGCGTTTTCTCATTAGCGTTATCACTTTTTATTTCTATTAACTATGCTAAAATAGTGTGGTAAATCTCATCCATAACACAGGAAGCATTTGAGTTGTTTGGGGCTGAGAATGACTTTCTTCTTTCTTTTCCTTTTTCTTGAAGAAAATTACCTCCAAATGGTATTTCTACACTTATGGAGAGCTTCATTTTATGGAGAGCTATTCAGCGCTTCTGTATAAGTGGATTCTTTTTAAGGATTTGAGAAAGCTGCTTTCTTGGGCTATGCGCTCCCTCATCTCAGGCACCTCTTACCTTGAAACAGACTCAACTCTGGTTTTGGGGCAAGCTCTGAATTCAGGGACCAGGTTCCCAGCTCTGCTTTTGCCTTGTGAGACCTTGGAAAAGGATTCAACATCCTTGGCCAAACTGCTGTGGGAATCCTGGCTTGCCCGATGAGCTCAGACACCCAAGGGAAAGCTGTTTATAAAACTTGCACAACATCAGGGGCGCCGGGGTGGCTCAGTCAGTGAAGCATCTGCCTTCAGCTCAGGTCATGATCCCAGGGCCTGGGACGGAGCCCCGAGGCGAGGCGGGCTCCCTGCTCCGAGGGGAGCCTGCTTCTCCCTCTCCCTCTGCCCCTCCCCCTGCTTGTGCGCACGCTCTCACTCTCTCTCAAGTAAATAAAATCTTAAAAATTATTTGCACAACATTAAAGGAAGATTTAGCAACCAGCTGTTCAGTCCCCTTTTCTAAGGCTGACAGGTGGACTTACAAGAACCATAACTGAGGGGGTGGTCCTAAGGATTGGCAGAAGCCTTATGTCCCCAGTACCCCTTTTTTAATGGTCCCTTGTCTTTGTTGCTCTCCTTGAAGTTCTTTAACTTTGCCAATTAATACTCATCAGAAGCTCTCCAAATGTCCCAGGGCCGTAGCAGTTAAAAAAAAGAGAGAGAGAAAGAAGAAAGAACTCTTGGCTGTAGCCACTGTTATTGAGTGTGCGCTTCGTGCTGGCCACGCTAGTGTCTACTGCAGTGGTCGTTCGACAAGTGTTTGTTGCACCTACCGTGTGTCGGACACCGTTCTTAGCCCTGAGAGTAGAGCATCGAGTAAAGCCGACTGAAAACCCCCGCCCTCGTGGGCTCGTCTTCAGGTGGGGAGACAGCGTGGTTTCCTCACCGCAAACCTGCAAGCTGGGATTATTCTCCTTGCGTTGACAGAAAGAGCTGCGGTGTAGACTCGAGTCGCTGGTCGCAGATCCGCCCCCCAGCCCAGCTCTGCAGGTGCACCCAGTGGCGCCTCCTGTGAGGGGCCAACAACAGGCGGGGGCTGCCGGGCGCCTGGGGCTGGCCTCGGGCTGTGTGTCCCTGGCTCAGTAAATGGTGACAGTTATTAGTAATGTTCTTCCGCGGAAATACTCTTGACACAGTTTGTGGTCTGAGGCAACCAGCCCTGGATTCCGCTTTCCCTAGCCGCCCCCCCGCCAGCTGCCCTGAGGACTGAGGGCTCAACGAATGAGAACCCCCGCGACCCCTTCCTTTCCTGTGCGTGGGAAGCAGGAGAATTTTTTTCCTTGCTGTCTGCCTTCTCCTCCCTGCCGTGACCATCTGTTCTGTCTTTGGGAAGGACATCACCGTCTCACCTGGGGGTCACCTTGACTCCTCAGTCCCCCACAGCCTGGCTTACTGAATTGGTTGCCTGACCCCCTGGATTCTCCTTCCTTCCTCCTCGCTTCTCCATCTGCACCACCACAGACTCCCATCATCCACCCCCGCACACCCCCACACTCTGACTCTCCCCTCCTGCTGTCCAACAGCAGCCTGGGCGGAGGGGCCCTTTGGAACCTCTGGGCTCTGGCCCACCTTTTGATCATTGATAGCACCAGAGCCAAGGGTAGGTTTCTGCCCCCATGTACTGACATCTTAAACCCATGATAATTTAGTTCTACCTGTTCTACAAACAGGGAAGCTTCGGTCCAACCAGTTGAAGTCACTTGCTCAAGAAACACAAATAAGACCCGGAACCAAGATCCAGCTCAAACTCCAGCTGTTGTAAATTCAAAGCACAAGCCATGTGCCTCAACTGCTTCCCTTAAGAAGGAAACTGAGTCACATGCTGCTAGGTGAAGGAAGTGTGAACACCGTGGTGGTGACTTTGTGGGTGTGACTCCACAGCCGCCTCAGAGCACAAGCTGGCTGCCTCTTCCCTCTTGGTTCCTGGGCCGTTTGCCTCCTCAGTGCTTCACCAGCAGCACCGTTTGAGACAGAACCCTATCAGCCCCAAACGGTGCCGAATTTATCACCTGTAGTAAATTTGCAGAGTTGTAAAACTGGATGAGTTTTTCCTTCTTTATTTTGTACACCTTAATTACTAGGGAAGGAGTACATTAAAACTGAGATCATGGGTTAATTAATTTGTCCTGGACTGTAGAATTTTATGGACAACCAGAACTAAAGTAATGGTTGTGTAGGTGGAATTGACTAAACGTGGCTTATAAATGTTACAGAAATTCCTGTAATTAGTCCCACTGCAGCTATTGAGCCTGGGAATTTTACAGCAGACATAAATTAAGATGAAAAGGAAGAAAAATTTTGAGTTGGCATAGTGGCATTTGCAGAAGCTATCATTTGAGGAAACCTGGTTGGCATTATTATTAATGATGATTTTGGGGGGGTTTGCAATTCCCCCCTTTTAAAATTCACTTTTTAATGCTGTTTCCACCATTATGCAATGGCTATCAGGTGTTAGGTGAATTAAACACAAGTAGTAGCTTATGAAAATAGACCACCAGCATCCTTTCTAAAAATACTTAACCGCCAACCAGAGGATGAAGAGACCTGTTTGATCACACTCTTCAAAGTCATTTTTGCATATTTTAATAGATTGAAAGGGAAAGTTACGGGTTATATTTAAATAGTGTTCCCTGTCATTGGATCTTGACACATTTTAACCTACCTGTTAAAATGCAAGTTATAAATAGCTCCTCTTTCAAAGGTGTTCATTATACCTCATTGGCTCTTGTTATAGAAAATGCAAATGTAATTTGAAAAGTGCCCGTTCTGAGTGCGAGCAATTACCTGTGCTCTTCAATACCTGGTTCATTGTCAGCCAAGCCACTTGGTTAAAAAGCATGTTTGCCTTTGAAATGGAGATCGCCTTCGGGGGCTGGCTGCCTGGCCGGCGGGCTGGCTAAGTAGGTAATGAGAAAATACTTGGCTTTTCCAGGGGAGCAAGCAGCTGCTGAACAACTATCCTGTCTACATAACGAGCAAACAGTGGGACGAGGCTGTAAATTCTTCCAAGAAAGACGGGAGGCGGCTCCTTCGATACCTCATCAGATTTGTTTTCACAACCGATGAGCTTAAGTACTCATGCGGCCTTGGGAAAAGGAAAAGGTCAGTGCAGTCAGGAGAGACAGGTCCTGAAAGACGCCCTCTGGATCCAGTTAAAGTAACATGCCTCCGAGGTACTGCATCCTTCCGCTCAGTGTCACCATCTGTGATCTCATTTCACCGCATTGGCTGTGGTTCCCCCGTGCAAGTGTCCAGCCTTGACTGTATTTTAGTTTTTCCCGCTGAGACCTCTATAGGCTTCATGTGGCCCATCTACTTGGTATCGAGAAGTTCTTTAAAAATTCCTCGTTTGCTTTAGCCTTGGCGTTCTCACGGAATGGCCCATAAGCATCGCATAGCACCTCATGTTTCACGCTTCAAATTCAGATTTTCTTTGCTGCCACAGAAGGCCACCTCCAGCAAAACTGGAGCATGGGGAAACGCACAGAGGAAGGGAAGGGGTGGAACATTTTTAAAAATTAGGAAAAGCAGATCTCCCGTTTGCATTTGCAGCCCGTGCCCCCCTCCCCCCCAGCTACCTTCTCAAGAGGGCTTGCCCCCAACTCCTTATATTTATTTAGAGTTAATTTCCCTTAATATTGGGGTGCCTAAAGTATCTGTTGCCCAGACAGACTTTATTCTGTTTTTTTTTAAATCTCTACATTAAAAATATTGCTTCAATGATACCATTTCATCAGTATTAACAGCTGACTACTTTGCAGCTGATCCACACTGTGGTAGGCCAGGCAGAGGATGAGAAGGAAGAATTAAGAGGTACACAGTTGATTCAGCAGGTGCAAATAAAAACACAGCCTTTTAGACAAGTAGAAGCATTCTAGTGCCAACAGGAACACTGTTCACACCTGAAAAATTCATATCGAAAAGCTCAAGTATTAACCTGTGTATTTCAACAGTAATTTTATTGGTTGGAAAAACTTAATAATTTACTCCGGACAGGGATCAAAATATTTCCTGGCGAGGAAGTCACAGTGAGGAGACACTATTACTGATAAGGCCTTGGTGTACAGAAAGGACACTCCAGCATCCCCTCCTGGGGTGCCCACAGTAGTCTGCAACGTTAGCGTGCCTGAGGCACATGGAGGTTTTGTTAGCAGCTGAAGTTCCTCGGGCCCACCCCAAGCTTCTGATCCAGCGGGTTGGGAGTGGGAGAGGGAGAAGGAGAGGCGTGCATTGCTGCTCATCACAACCACCCCGGGTGATTCTAGTGCAGGTGGCCCGAACTTGAGAGAACCAACTGGAATGAAAACACCCATATCAACTAGGCACAGGTGCGCCAGAGCACCTCTGTCGGCCAGTCTGAAGATCCACTTGCTAACAGTGGGTGATGGAAATTTCCAGGGTCTGTCTTAGCAAACTAGCCATGGTTTCCTTTATTCCTCAACATCATCAGAGCTGACAGAGTCACTCACCAAGAGTAACAGAGGCGTTTGTGAGCTTGGGGCTCTCCTGGGAACACTGTACTCCAAGAAGTTGCCCTGGGGCCCATAAGGGGAGTCAGGACAAGGGGCCTCACAACTGTATCCAGAAATTCTTATTCAACATTTCACATTTTAAGCAGCAAGTGAGTGAAACTGAGAGGTTAACATACCTCCCAGTGCACCCGTGCCTTGCCCTGAGAACGTTGTCTGACCCTCTGTGACACTGACACAGTCCAGGTGGGCTAATCAGCATCTGTATCCTCCAGCTCCTGCCTCACCTGGCACCACACCCACAGCCCCCCCCCCACCCTTGGGTGGAGAACCAAGGGGCAAAAAACGGCGATGGTCTGTGTCAGGGGTGGCTGATCCAGACGTGTATATGCTTGTCCCAAAAGCTGAACTCCTAAGGCCTTCCTGTGACCCAGATGGGATTCCTTTCATAAAGCCTCAGACCTGGTGACTCCCGGGGTGGACATTCGTGTTGGGTGAGCAAGATTAGAACAGCCAAGGAAACGTCAGACTGTTGGACACTTAGTGATGGAAAACAGTTTGGAATGGAACCAGACTCCAGGCTGACCGATCCTGCAGGTGGTTTGACCCTAGAAGGGGGAGGGCCTGTGAAGATGCGTCCTGTCTGTGCAACAGAATGAGCTTTTAATAGTCTACCACAGTATCCGAGAAAGTCCTATCTCAGCAGCGGATGCGGAGGAGAGAGTGGAAGTTGACGGGTGTCACATAGCAGCACCTGCTCTGAGTCCCAGGGTCACAGCGTCCTCATCCGTTAGCCTGTATTTCCTTGTGTTGATATGAGCGGGGGATCTAGACAGAGGGAAACTACAACAGTTATTAGACACTTACAGAATACAGTAGGGATGGGAGGGGGACAGAAGAGGAATAGGGAGTTATCCTTCAGTGCTTCCCAGGCCTGCACCGTAGGCTAAGCCATCTGATTCTGGCAGTTTTGCAGGATGAGTTGCTGAATGAACACTGTTCTTTCCCTTGAGTAAGGCAGCCAGGGCTGGGACTCCGGTGAGGCTAGTGAGGCTCTCACCTCAGGCACAGAATCGAAGGGGATACCCCTGCTTCTCTGCTAAGCTAGATTCTGCCTGCTGAGAAGGGCACGGTTCAATTCATGAGACTGTTGGGGTCCAAATCCTCGAAGAGCTTCAGCTTCTCCTAAGGGCAAATAGGGCCGGGATTTCACGCAGTCATTTCAGACAAATCCAGTCCTGCGACCAGACCTGTTGTCTTGTAGAGGGAGCATTGTTGGAGAAGAAACTGTGTGTAAATAATAGTCACCTTGGACTATTTTGTAGTCAGCTGTGCAAAAATAACAGAGTTTGACTTAGAACTTTTTCCAAAATGCTCACTTCAGTTTACAAGTGTCCATATTAAAATAGCTAGGTAGGAGTTATGTATGTGCCCCGACGCCCGGAGAAAACAAGAAAGGATGGTGTGAGCTCAACCCAAAGGGTGGCTGAGTCTGTTTCATTGGAGTCTGAGTTCCTTTTTATACATTCACACTTCCGGGCATGCTAATTGCTTTCTGGTGAAATTAAATATTTAGAGGAAATCTCATTTAAGAAATATTTGTCAGTACATGTGCGGATATTCCAATTAGAGAAATAAGTATGACCTATAATACATGTTAAAAACATGGAAATCTCTTCTGAACCAAAATTCAGGCAGTTTCTCGGCCATTGAGATTTTGTTCTCTTATTGCACTTAATCTACAAATTAGTAGCTGGTTAAAGAATACCATACTGATGATATTTGCTGTTTCCAGAAATAGTGAACATTCTAAAAATGTGAGCAAATGTGATACTGACATAGGTTTGAAATGTACGCCATAACTTTTACTAAGCGTGATGTATAGTACATCTTATAAATCAAATTTACCTTTCATTTCAATAACAAATGTTCCTTAGGAGGATCACCTCACTTAACATGATTTTTACTTTTGCACATGAGTAGAAGGCTTACACGTAATTAGTTGAGTCTAAGAAGTGACATCATCATAACATTACATTGGATTTCCCATAAAGCTTTTCTTGTAGAGCTTTTGTAAATGTGTAAGCAGCCTGTTCATCATCTTCTGCAAAAACCAGCTGTTTTTCTCTTTCTTTTTATTGTTGTGTATTCCCACAGAATTCATTAGGATGCACTGTACCTCCAACCCAGACTGGTGGATGCCCTCAGAGGAGCAGATCAACAAAGTGTTCAGCGACGCCGTGGGGCACGCCCGGCAGGGGCGGGCAGTGGGGACTTTCCTGCACAATGGCGGCTCATTTTACGAAGGGATCGATCACCAGGCTTCCCAGGATGAGGTCTTCAATAAAAATTCTCAGGATGGGTCTGGGGATTAGTGGACAAAATCTGGACACTGTAGCAGCTGGTCCTCTCAATGGTTCCAGTTGTCAATGTCCGGTTACCATCACCTGAGAGTCCAAAGCATGTCCTTCTGCCAGACTTGACACATCTCAAACCTTAAGTCTCTGACCTACTGCCACAGTTCCCAAATAGAAATCCATTGTAGGGTTGTTGGGGAAGTCTATGGAACCTACAACAGGCTTTAAGATTATAAAAAGAAAAAAAACCACAGTTGCATTGAATTGATTCCTAGCTAGACAGTGAGGGTGAAAACAATAGGTGAGCTGCTGGTCACCTGTCTGAAACCTTCACGTAAGCTCTGCTTCCTGAGCAGAGCTGGTCCCCACAGAAGACTGGGTTAGAGTAGAGAAGATAGAGACACGGAGTTATTGTAAGGGACAACGAACAAACATTCTCTTTAAATAAGTTGTCTTTATATTTTCCAAAGACTTGAATCCATACTTTCAGTAAAGACATAGGGTAAGTGGCACTGTGCTCTCTCAACATTGACAAAGTCTATATGAAAAAGAGAAAAGAGGTCCCTGCTAGACAATGATTCGTTGGAAATCACCTGGGGTTTTTGAAGTAATTTTAGAAACCACCCCCCCCCGCAAAAAAAAAAAAAAAATTCTACCATGTTGATCAGAAAGGCATGAAATGATCTCTGGAGTTTACAAACAGTAAGTTTTCATTATGTCAGTCAAGAAACCTCCAAAGATCCAAAACCCTTTTTAAATGCTTGATGTCATAGGTTCATAGACCCACAGGTTCCATAGCCTTCCCTCAGACTTTGTTGACACCAATGCCAGGGTGATGGGTTGAGCAATGAGCATTTCAATCACTTAGTTGTTTGGTGCACTGAAGACCAAACAAGTGGTGTGACTGATGGTATTCACTGAATTGACCAGATGTCCTGGAATGGTATACATACAGCTTCAAGGCCATTCTGACAACTATGCAATGGGCTTGTCTGTAATTGCTCTGAAATGTGAGGGTCTTTCTCTGAGTAGATCTTTAGAATTTGCATAAACTTTTGTTTCTTGTTCTTCATCCCAACTGTTTTGCTGCTTCGCCCCTCCCTCCTGCCCCCCGAGCCATGTTCCCTTGAACTACAAGCTCTAGCTAAGTTCACTGGTTTTCTCCCGTTTAATTAGTTGAGCTCCGTCTGTGAAATTACTACTGTCTTTGGGAGCATTCCTTACGTACAAACTGTGGAGATGCATTGCACGGCCAGTTCGAATGCGTCGCCCGGGGCCTAAGACCAGTTTCCCTGGGTCAGGTGTCCACGATGTTCTCTGCCGTGTGTTTGTGTGTGTGTGTGTGTCCACGATGTTCTCTGCCGTGTGTGTGTGTGTCCGTCCCCACTGCCTGTGTGTGTGTGTGTGTGTGTGTGTGTGTGTCTCCCCACTGCCTCTGTGGGCCCGGGGCCTAAGACCAGTTGCCCTGGGTCAGGTGTCCACGATGTTCTCTGCCGTGTGTGTGTGTGTGTGTGTCCACGATGTTCTCTGCCCTGTGTGTGTGTGTGTGTGTGTGTGTCTCCCCACTGCCTCTGTGGGCCCGGGGCCTAAGACCAGTTGCCCTGGGTCAGGTGTCCACGATGTGTGTGTGTGTTCTCCGCCGTGTGTGTGTGTGTGTGTGTCCACGATGTTCTCTGCCCTGTGTGTGTGTGTGTGTGTGTGTGTGTGTCTCCCCACTGCCTCTGTGGGCCTGGGGCCTAAGACCAGTTGCCCTGGGTCAGGTGTCCACGATGTTCTCCGCCGTGTGTGTGTGTCCGTCCCCACTGCCTGAGCCAGACGCTGACACCCACCGGGGGTGTGGCACAGCATCTGAGGAGATACTGTGACGTCTCCTCTCCTGAAGGTGCGGTCCGTGAGGCCCGCCAAGCTTTCCAGCTTCTTCAGGGTGGGGGCCTCATGGCCGCCCCACTTTCAGATCAGGCCTTGCAAAGGATGTTCAGGTACTTGTGGTGGGACCGCTGTGCCCCCTACAGAGCAAGGTTGTAAAAGCTCACCACCAGGAAGACCGGATGCTGTCCCTGCTCTGTCTTCCTTTCTCTTGGTCTCTTTGGAGACCTGACGGTGTTGCTTGCTTTCTTGAGTCGATTCTCTACCTTTCTTTGGCAGCTGGACAGATTGCTCATGACTGGAAACTTCGTCTCGTGTCAGCTTGTAGAATCCTCCTTGAGTCCTTTTAGGACTGGTGTAAAATGGGTTGAATTAAAGCTGCTCAGGATGCCACTGTGCTCCATGTCCTTGATGAGAGAGGGAGGTCACAGGGCTGGCCTGGCATGCAGGGCTCAGCTTGGTATTGTTACCTGTTCAAGGGGTGTTCCATGGGCACAGCGATCAGAAGAGCCTTCAGCAGTGAGTGTCTTGATGTGTCTTGTGATTTCCCAAATTAAAATATCACAAAGAGTATGCCTACTTTTCAAACTGACCCGAAGGCCCAGGTGCCGTTCCACTGGGCTCAGGATAACCCTCCAGGGACCCACATCAGAGGACGTAGGCCCGGAAGCTGTGGAGGGGAGCACTGGTCTGGGAGCAGTTTTCCTAGAGGCACACTTCTCACAGTCTCTTAAAGCTGCACTGCTCACAGTCTCACGGTTTACTCCCCCCAGTGTTAAATGCTTTGGAGGAAATCTGTAAACTTGAAAGTTTGTACCTTCCCTTTTTACTTGAAAACATTTCATCCAGCCCCGGAACCTGAGCATCTCTCTGTTAGCATTCCTGATTTCCACCACAGGGTTTGGGTTCCTGTCACCATTGGTGTTTCATAAGGTTTCACTAGGGATGTAGGAGGATAATGACAGAGTGTGTGAAAAAAAATTGCTGCCCTCTCCTTTGGTGAGGGAATTGGGAGATGTATGTGGCCACTTCACAGCTGGAGAGCAAGTGGGTGAATTTATATTCTGGATCTTTCTTGGCCCTTCATCAGTCATAGACACATTGACCTAAGAGATTTATAAGGATTATAGAGGTGTAAATTGTTAGAGTGTATTATTTGGTCCAACTACTCCACGTGTCAGATGCGGAATGGTTTTTTTACTCCAGTAGCTATTCCTGTAATATCAGACGTTCTCCCCAAATCTAGACAAAAATACAGACTTGGGAATCTACAGGTTCGTGGTTTCTACATTTTCCTACCACCTTTAATGTCTTGCCCTCCCTCCTGTTCTCAGAAAATGGATGGAGCATCATGTGAGATGAAACACGCAGGACTTTCAGAAAAGCAAACCTACATTTGCCCTCATTTGGATTTTATCCTATAACCTGTGCTCTAGAATCTAAACCTGATACCCACCAACTACCTCCTTAGTTTTTTCTTAGATTTCAGTCGTTTGTTCAAAGATCTCATTCTTGGATAACTTTATTTTTAGAAAAGATTTAAACCTAACTTTTCTCATTCAGTGCTATGTCATTTCACAGTACAGATCTATAATTTTTGACAGCTCTCATACAAATTTCTAGAAATGTAATAGAAAACGATTTTGCACATATGGCACAAGTCTTGCTGGTGTATGTTTAATGTGGCAACACTTGCCGTAACTGCTTGGCAAAACATGTCAGCTAGAACGCTTGAGTCAGAACTCTGATGTAAATGTGTCCAAACAGCGGTATGTATCATTATGATATATTTTTGTAAACAGCGATGGCTTCTTTCAGTCGTATAAGTACTGAATAAAAATAATCACTTCTTTTGGAATAAGGAAAATGCTCCCCAGCTGAATGGACCTCTGCAAAGTCACTTGCGTGTTTTTTAGAGAGTGAAGGACTGATATCCGACAGCTGAGTGCAAGAATACCAAGCCTCCAGTACTAGCTTCTTCGTGTGTAAAGTTCAAAACCAGAACAGGCAGCGTCTGCACGTGAGAGACCACTCTCACCCTCCATGTGTGTTCAGTTGCAGGAGACATTGAGAGGACTGGACTTGGTTCACCTAATGACCAGCTTGGTCAGTCTGCCTACTGAAGCTCTAAATTTACCAAATCTCTGTGGTGCAGGTGGCCAGATTAACTTTCCTCGTGACCCTCTATAGCTGACTGATACGAGGTCTAGGTGTTCTTTGACTCACAGTTCCCCAAATTATAATGAAAATACATCTAAGAAGACTCCTTCAGAATAATTGCCCCAGTACAAATGGCCACGTGGGTGCTGGCCACATTGGAAAACTGTTCAGGCCCACCCCCAAACCACTCACAACAACTGTACTAACTGTAGCTGATAGTCATTGAGTTCTTGTTTTGCAGATACTCTGCTAAGCACTTTAGTGCATTCTCTCCTTTTAATCTGCACAGCCACCCTCCGAGGCGGTTACTGTTGTCCCAGTTGATCCATAAGAACACTGCCCGAGGTGCTCTGCTAACAAGAGGATTACTTTGGGCTTAGTAAGCAGGGTGACTAGTTCAGTTTTCCCCAGTAGTCAACGCAGATTTCTCAAAACCCATCAACACTTTGGAATGGATTTTGTTTAATTTATAGCATCGAGGGAAAGATGGTATTTGTGTTACTAAAAACCACATTTAAGGTATGTTGATGCTTAAATAGGACCTTATAAACCATATCTCCTCTGGTAACTGCCCGGGTTTCTGCGTAAGACTTGACTTATGTAAGATTCCATGTTGAAGACTAGAAAAAGTTTTAAAGTAGTGAATAAATTAAAATTGCTAATTTGTTCACATTTGTTTCATAGGTTTCCTGTACAAAAATGCAGGGATATAAAAGAAAAATTTGAACTCAGTGAAGTGATAATCTTTGGGAACTCCTACGTGTTAGAAATGGCACTGGGCATCAGTTAGCTAATGTTTCATTCACTTTTTCACATTTGTTGTATTTGTAGCCTTAGAATTGGTAAGTCTGGTTTGGAAGAGAGGGATTTCATTTATGATGCCACTGTGAGAACTGTTGTGAAGATTTTGTAGGAAAATACAGTAATCTGTCGGTTCTTTCCTGTCGTGATGGCTTTAACATCTCTTTGGCTGTGTTTAAGTTCAAGAGCCT